TCCCAGCACTTTGAGAGGCCGGGGTGGGAGGATCGCTCGAGGCCAGGAGTTTAAAGCCAGCCTGGGCAATGTAGCGAGACCCTTTCTCTACCAAAAAAAAAATTAGCCAGGCAGGATGATGGTTCATGCTTAGACTCTCAGCACTTTGGGAAACTGAGGCACGAGGATCACTTGAGCCCAGGAGTTCGAGGTTGTGGTGAGCTATGATCTTGCCACTGCTCTCCAGCCTGGGCAACAGAGCAAGACTCTGTTTCTAACAGCAACAGAAATGTCTCAAAGGCCTTGCAGCCTGAAGGGTGTCTGAGACGCCCCCTCTCTGGAGTCAGTAAATGTCCACAGAGTCATCCCAGCCATGATGACTGGTTCAGCCATGATGACGGAGACTTCATTCTAAGCCGTTGCAAGGGGTGCTGAGGACAGGGTCCTGCTGGCGGGGCAGACCGGAGCCGCCATGTGGACCCGGTTGCCGGAGGGCTCAGCTCCCAAGGGTTCTGGGCCCATGTGGAACATTCTGCTGGAAGTGCATGCATCCTGGGACCTCTTGGCTGGAGAGTGGACCCCCTGTCTCCGTAGGGCCCTGTACGGGGGGGCCGCGCCCGGCTTCTTCTCAGCTCTGGCAGCTTGAGACTGTGTGTTCATGGGTGGTCCCCTTCGCGAAAGCTCTCTGTGACCCCCAGGCCTCTTGAGGGCAGGGCTCGAGTCTGTTTTCTCCTTCCCCCGTGGCCGGTCTGGGGCCTGGCCTAAGGAGGTGTCCCCAGAGATAATGGTGTGACTGAGCCCGCCGGGTGGTGAGTAAAAAGCGTGCTTCCTCTAAGGTGGGACCTGCAGACATCGGGAGCTGCCAAGGGACGGGCAGGGAGGGAGGACACATGGTCACACGCTGGGCACCACGTCCACCACTGGAGAGAGGGCCTTCTGGAAGCCCGAGCCTTGCCTGCACGTGATTTCTTGATTGAGTGAATCCTTCCATGTACCTCACAACTCTAAAATAAGATATAACAATAATTGTCATCATTACAAAGAAGAAAACACGGGGTTCCTGCACGTGCCGGCTCCAGGGATCAAAGTGTTTCAGGGTCTTGCTGCTGTGTGCCCTTGGGCCGGGAGCCTAACCTCTCTGTGTGTCAGGCTCCTCATCCATATGATGGGGCATAGTCAGACCCCAAGGGTCGCTGTGTGAAGATTGTGTGATCTTAGGAGATTTGTTAGGAGGCCCATGGGGGCAGGGACCAGCAGACCAGCCTCGAAACGCATTCTGGGACCACGTGTTGGTGGCGCCAGCGTTTTCTGTGGACTCAAGGTGGAAACCCTGCCAAGGCCAAGTGTGATTTGACAGACGCCCTTGGCCTGGCCTCAGCTTGGGAGCCCCACGGTCTCCCTGGAAAGTTCTGCAGACCAGGCTCTTCTGGGTCATTCCCTGGGGGGCTTCTGCAAGCACTCCTCTCCCCCTGTGGCGACCCATGAAGCTAGAACCCTCCACGGAGTCGAGTCTGTGGTCCCCTTGATGTCAGAGTGCGAGAGGGACTCGGATACCGTCAGATCTGGCCGCGTCTTCACTGTAGACCAGAGAGGGCCAGAGGCCGGCCCAAGGCAGCACAGCGGGGGCAGGCCCAGGGGCTTCTGTGGTGGCTTCTCTGTTCCTCCGAGGATGCAGAGCTGACACTTGACAGGCAGGTGCGGGCCAGGTGTGCTGCAGGGGCTGTGAAGACCACGGGGAGGGGAGGGGGGCGAGGTGTGCTAAAAGCCCCCAGAGCTGGTGGGGGTGCTGCCCTGGCCAGGGGGCAGGCAGGGAGGAGAAGCAACTCCCAGGGGGGGCATGGCGGCATGCGACCTTGGCCTTGGAGGGACAGGTCGAATATCAACAGAATTTATTGCGAGATGAAAAATCTGTTGAAATGCAGAATTCTCCCCTACCCCCTTGCCAGCACACACAGACCAGATGCCAGCCAAGCTTGAACTTGGTTTTGAGAGGTGTCTGGTGTGGCTGGCCCTTGGGGAGTCCGTGCTGCCTGCTGCCTCAGTTTCCCCGCCCCAGGCTCGTGGCTGCTGTGGCTGTCACGTGTACACCCTCTAGTGGGGGAATCGGATTGTGCACCCTGGTGCTTGGAGCAGGGTCCCGTCCTTTCGTGAAACAGGGTCCCCGTGTTCCTTGTGGCCACCGTGAAGGGGGTCATCTGAGGGTTGATGGCCACAGCCCAGCCGGGCACCGAGGAGAGGGGACAGCTGGCTGCAGGCCTGGACCTGGGGCCTGGGCAGGAGGGAGTCCCCATGGGCTGCTTTGTGAGTGACCACAGGCCACTGGTCTCAGCACACTGAAGGTGACCCCTGGCCCCGACCTCCTTGGTGTCGTGGGTCCTTGAGAGGAGGAAGGGCCAGGATGAGCGGGCGGTGACCCAGCCTGGGGGAAGGACGTCACCGAAGGCATCCATGCCAGGGCTCGGGGTGCTCTGGGGTCCCTGGGTCGGCACAAAGCTGTGTGTGTGGTTTGTTCTGATGAATCCCAACGGGAGGACCTGGGATGGAATTGGGAGCGTCAAAGCCACATGAGAACGCCTTCTTGGGGTCCTTGGTCCTGGCAATGGCTCTGAGAGCATGACTTTCAGCTCTGGCCCCGGGGCCAGGAGCCTGTGGGGATGGGCCCCAGGGGACAGGCCACTCCCAAAGCCACCGCTCCCAAGCTGAGAAACCCACTGGGTGTCATGGGCGAATTCGGGTGAAATGAACGGCCGGAGTGAGGGTTCCATACTCCCCCGCAGCCGGAGTGGGTGGCAGTGGGGGTCCTGGGGGGTCTCGACCCTGAAATTTGCAAGCCTCTGGAGCAGAGGGGCAGGGCCAGCCTCCACAGCCGGCCTCCTTGGGCTCTACCTGGGCTGGGGCTCTCTGAGTGGGGTGGCCTCGGCCGGGGAGAGCCGTGTTGACCCTGTGTCCTCAGCACAGGCGCCTGGTGCAGGGAAAATGTCCTTTGGGGATTTGGGGGGGCGTTGAGACAGGGTCTCCCAGGCTGGAGTGCAGTGGCATGATCACTGCTCACTGCAGTCTTAGCCTCCTGGACTCAAGCAGTCCTCCCATCAGCCTTCCCAGTATCTGGGATGACAGGCGGGCACCACCATGCCTAGCTAATTTTTTGATTTTTTTGTAGAGACGAGAACTCTTGGGCTCAAGCAATCCTCCTGCCTCAGCTTCCCAAGGTGCTGGGATTATAGGCTCCCATGCCCGGCCCTTCTTTGAGGATTTAATATGTGCAAACCGCTTTTTTTTTTTGAGTCGGAATCTCACTCTGTCACCCAGACTGGAGGGCAGTGGCACGCTCCCGGCCACCGCAGCCTTGACCTGCTAGACTTCTGGCGATTCTCCCGCCTCAGCCTTCCAAGTAGCTGGAACCACAGGCACGTGTCACCATGCCAGGCTAATTTTTTGAGTTATTGTAGAGACGAGGTCTCGCCAAGTGGCCCAGGCTGGTCTCGAACCCCCGGGCTCAGATAAGCTTCTCACCTCGGCCTCGCAAAATGCTGGGATGACAGGCGTGAGCCACTGTGCCCGGCCACGTGCACATCTTGAGACAAGTCTTGCCTTTAACTAGGGGGAGAGGCTTTTCTTGAGACCAGAATCATCCAGAAATCTTTCTGTCCCGGCTTGTGTCTAGCCTGTCTGTGGGGACATCTGGGGCTAGGCTTTCCCCTAGTTCACTGACCTGAGCGTCACCCTGAATGCCCCTCCCACCTACCCTCGAAGCTGTGTAGTCCAGCAGGCTCAACTCTGGGGTACAACAGAAACCCCGTTGGCTGTGGGAGATCTCGTGAATGGTGCCCTGCCTGTTCTCCACGGGATACCCTGTGGGATCCTGTTTGGAAATCAGGTCTGAGTTTTTTGGGGGTTTTTTGAGTCGGAGTCTCACTCTGTCGCCTAGGCTGGAGGGCAGTGCCACACTCCCGGCAACCGCAGCCTCGACCTGCTGGGCTCCGGCGATCCTTCCACCTGAGCCTTCCAAGTATCTGCAATTATGGGCGTGCACCACCACGCCCAGCTAATTTTTGGATTTATCGTAGCTATGAGGTCTTGCCAAGTTGCCCAGGCTGGTCTCGGGCTCAGGCAGTCCTCTCGCCTCGGCCTCCCAAAGTGCTGGGGTTATAGGTGTGAGCCACCACGCCCGGCCCCATCACGGCATTCTGATGACCTGTCCCCAAGGCCTGGCTGTGTGGAGGCCACGGTGGGACCCCACCCATGGAGCCAGGGCCCCCGAGTCTGGTCCTGGCTCGCACCAGAACCCGTGTGGCCTCGGAGGTGTTTTGCCTCTTGCCTCAGTGGTCAGGTGTGTCCCGAGGTCCTTAAACTCCGTGTTACTCTTGGTGTAACTGGAAGTGCCCACAGGTCTCTGGGTCTCAAGCCGGAATTTCCCTTTGTCTAGGTGCCCCGTGAACGTTTGTTGAGTGAATAAAGCCGGTAACTCACTTGACAGGCATTTCTGGTCCAGGCTAGGAGCTGGGGGGTGGGGACAGAGGGAAAGTCTGGGAGCTGGCCCTCAAGGCATAGTCTCAGGCCTGATGCTGTCTCTTGGGAAGATGGGGAGAGGGGAGGCCTTCAGAAGAAGCAGTGTCTGAGCTGGGCCAGGAAGGGTGTACCCCTCCATCGAGGCGTGCTAGGGACATTGGCAGGGGGGTCGAGAGCCCAGTGCCTGGGCGCGGCTTGTGGTTGGGGCCACCTGTGGCTGGGAGAGTGGCTGCAGCCAGATGGCCTGGCTATGTGGCGCCCAGCCGGTGGCATCCCCTCTCTGTGCCTCGGTTT